CTGCCTCTGCCTCCTGAGTGCTGGGATTAAAGGCGTGTGCCACCAAAGCTGGGCCATATCACCCCATTTCTATAAATAGGTTTTGAACGGGATTGTTATTCTTGAGTGTTAGACCCCCCGGAAAAACTCAGGTCTCTGGGGTCTCAGCCCAGGACCGAGGTCACCCCAATCACCAGGTGGAGTCCAAAGCTTAATGCAAACTGTATGAGGCTTTATTATTGTTTAAAGAGCTAACCCCATGTTAGCTCGGGTCTTTCCCCCACCCGCCATGGTGGATGGCTAGCAAAGATAGCTCCAACCAGCTGTATAGAGATCTTGTAGGGCAGCGTAAGGGGAGTGTCTAGGGGTACGCACAGGCTCAGGATTGGTGTGGCTCCAGGCTTGGAGGGCTTGCCCTGTGTTGATTGGTCAATTGGTTGTTATGGCCCATAGGCCCTCCCAGGGTGGTTGCTATGCTCTGCGCGTCATTGCTGTGTACTTGTTCATAAAGCACACCCAGAGCCGTAAAGCATAGCGCCACGAGCTAACTTCTGATTGGTTCCTTGCCACGAGGCAGGCACCTAACCTTTTAGTGACTAGGACAAGGTCATGGTAAGCAGGTGTTCAGCTGTAATGGCTGCCGAAATGGGGAGCTGGTTCCTTCATTGAGAATATGTGCCTATGTCTATCACCTTTTAGTTTTGTAAAGACGGATGTAACTAGCTCAATATTTGGCCAAGCAAGCAAAATGGTAAGTGTTGTTTTTGATTTACAGATGTTTTAGTTCAAAATTTGGGGGAAAAAACATATTTGACATATCTGGTTTTGCCGGAGGTTAACGTTGGAGGATGGGATGGGAAAAACTTGTTTGTCGGTATGGAAAAACATGCACGCTTTTGATGTATAAATAAAGACGGCTTGAGCTAATCGGGGCCAGCCACTTGCGTGAAACTCATCTGGTGGTTGGACAGTTCGTGTCTTCTCACTGATACCTCTCCCCTGGCTCAGCACCTGAACCCAGGCTGTGGCCGCACCTTGGCAAGATTTATTTATTTTTATTTTATGTTATGAGTGCTTTGTGTGTCTGTGCACCACATCGTGCAGTTCCTATGACGGCCAGAAGAGGACATCGGATACAATAGACCTGGTGTTATTGAAGCTTGAGAGCAGCCACGTGGGTGTTGGGAACCCAACCAGGCTCTTTACTCTTTACCTCTTCATCTCTCCAGACCCCCACCTTGCTTCTTGAGACAGGACCTGTCATTCACCTGGAACTCTCAGCTGGCTGGCTGGCTCCTTATCCCAGGAATTCTGTCATTCCATCTCTACTCCTGAGAGCTGGGATGATAATCATGTGCCACTGTGGCCAGCTTTTTCTTGTGGCTTCTGAGACCAAATGCTGATCCTCATGCAAACAGGCCCAACCTTACTGACTGGGCCATCTCTGCAAACTCCTACTACCTTACTTTCTTGATCACCTCTTTCTAAAACCGAGATGCTAAAGTGAGGTACAGACCTGTAATCCCAGCACTTTGGAGACCCAGTCCAAGGCTAGTGGAAGATGCATGGTAAGTCTTTGTGTCAAGGGTTCGAGGCTAGCCTGGCCTGTGAAGCAAGTTCAGGACAGCCAGGGCTACATAGCAGAACCTATTTCAACAAAATATGTTGAACAAAGTGAGTATGTGGCCTGTCTCATCTATCAACTCTCTCAGGCCTTACCTTCCTTCCTGTCCATGGTTAATTTCCTTATAATGTGTAATTTTTTTTATTTTGTTTGTGGGAAGGGGAACACAGACTTGTGAGCCATGGCTCACAAGTGGGGGTCAGAGGACAAGCAGCTCCTTTTTTTCTACCATGTGGGCTCCCAGGATTGAACTGAAGTCCTCAGGCAGGATAGCAGGCACCTGTTCCTCAGCGATCCATCTCAATAGACAGAATTCCATGTAGCCCAGGCTGGCCCTGATTCTCCTGCCTCTACCTCCCAAGTGCTGAGACTAAAGGTGTGTGCTGCCGTATCCCAGCTTTCCAGTTTTAAATTCTATTCAAGTATATAATGATCGGGGATGTGGGGGGGGGGTAGGGAGAAGGCGTTACTGTGTAATCTTGGCTATCCTGAAACTTGCTAAGAATGGGTTGTCCTTGGCTCCATTTTGAGAAAGAAAAAAGAAGAAAAAGGCTATAAAGACCTTGGTATGAAAGATGAACGGGGTGGAAGAGACTCAGTTAACTCACTATACAAAGTAACTAAATCTTTATTGATGCCTTCCTGTGCCAGCCAGAACACATAGAAAGGCGAGAGGCAAGTCCCTCTCCTAGAGCAGTTCACAGTCTCCTGAGGAAGACGGGAACGGGATTCCTGGAAAGACGGCAGGCAAGTACAGCATTCAGGAGATGAATCCACTGTCCACCTGCCTGGTAATCTTCCAGCCTAGCTATGAACACGGGAAGAGGAAGCTAGCCAGGGACAATCCGGGCCACCGCTCAGCCAGTAGATTTTGCCTCCCCCTGTCCTAGTCGCCATCGGGGGATGCAGTGGCGGCATCAAAAAGCTGGGCCACCCCAGCAGTGTATTTACAACAGTTGGCTGCTTCCCGGAACTGCAAACCAATGCAGTGAGTGGAACTGGAGAAGCCGGAGGACGGGGGCTGAGGCAGTCCAGTCCAGTGGGAAACGGAAAGAGTTGGTACCCCAGGGCCAGGGAAGCAAGGTGAGTTGGGCATCTCACAGCAGCGCACCGGCAAGTCAACAGAAGAGCTGGCAACCCAGACCCCAGAACCACAGAGCCTTGGTTAGCCGGGATCTGAGCCCCGCCCTTTGGGGGGGTCTTCCCCGTATTGCTGCGGTCTTGGTGACCCGCAGCACCTCCTCCAGGCACACACCACTCCTCTTCTTGCAGTACAGTTTCGTGTTCTGCTGCGTGGGGAGAAGTGTGGCTGGCTGGGGCGGACGTGGGCCTGGTGGTAGAGTTGGTTGTGGTTGCAGCGCCTTTGGAGGTACTGGTGGAGGAGGTCTGGGTGCGAGTAGATGGGGCTAGGGTGGTTGGAGGGGGCAGTAGGACTAGGGGTGGGATTCGGGGGGAGAAATAAGTCTTGTTGCGGAGGTCGGAGTTACAGCGGGGTCCCTGGCAGCACGAACCACTAAGTGTGAAGCCTGGACCGGTCACCCCATCACGGGTGCAGGACTCATCCTGGACGCAGCCTCGGACAGGTAAGGACACAGTCACATTGGCTATAAGAGAGACACAGAAAGGCCTGTCATTGGAAAAATAGGAGTTGGCACAAGCTTAAGTGAAGCCTGGGGTGGGGGCGGGGGTCTGGAACAAGACAAGAGCAGCAAACCCCGAAGTGACACAGAGGAGGACTGTGAACTCATGAACGCAAACAGCTTAACTCTGGTCCCACTTTCTCCAGAGCAATATGCTCTTGCCATCTGCTCACAACGGACTGTGTTTCCACTAAATGCTTTGAGGGGAAAAGGGTGGAACCCAGGTTTCCAGATTTGTCTTGGAAGAAAGGCTTCAACAGAGACAATTCTGTGATCAAAACTCAAACATAGCCTCACCTTTTCCTTTATCAGTTCCCTGCTAAATTTTAGTCTTAAGAGTCTGAAATAGAGCTCCTGAAAAATACCTGGCACCAGAAGGGATTAAAGAACTTCTCCCATGGTGTACCAGCCCCTCACTGGGGGATTCCAGGCAGGGGCTCTACCACTGAGCCACGCCCCCAGCCCCTCACTGGGGG